GCTTTAAATATCTTCAAAGTCTTCCGAACTAGGTTTTTACTTGTCTTGCTTTTGATGTAGGGTGTTGATATTTGGTCCTTTGGGTGCGTCCTCCTGGAGTTGTTAACGCTGCAACTTCCTTACTCAGAGTTATCTGAATTAGATATCCACAATTCTCTTCAGGTATTGCCTTGATCTCTAACCTTTAATTTAGTAATGTTCTAAATAGCATGATGAGTACCTAATCTGCTGCAAGTACCATTTTATGATGATTCCCCTCGCAATTTTTTATTACTGCCTGCCTTGTTTGCTAAAACTCAATGCTTACGGTTCTAGTGCCTCCCCGGTCATTGGATATTTCATGCGTGTCATAGTTTCCTTTTGCTATTGCTTTCTATCATGAGAACTGCCTGCATAAGATCTTTTGCATATTTATAGTGGTTTGTTGGAATTGCTTAAAATGGTATGAAAACAAATGTAACTTGACGCACACAGGTGGGTAATCGGCCACAACTACCTGAAGAACTAGAGGTAATGGCCACATCATCCAAAGCAGAGCTGGAGGATCTAGCAAAGACTTGTTCTGGCTCTGACCTAGACAAGCAGCAATCTGAATCTCATATCCTGAGATTTCTCGTTTCTATTTACCGTTGGTGTACCGAGAAGGATCCAGACGACCGTCCCACAGCAGAGAACCTCTACAATGTCTTGCTTACCTGTGCTAACTCTCTCCCTCTACAGAGTCAAGAAGAAGGATCAAAGTCCATCAGATGAAATTGATCTTCCCCAAAATTTTTGTAGCCTTAGGATGTTGTATACTAGCATTAGATTATTTGGAGTTAGGACCCGTTGAGCAATGTAACATGTTCCTTAGCCTCGCTTCAATTAGAGTACCTCACGGTCTTATTCGAGACACTATGATACTTTTCTATCATTTTCCTATTCCTTTTCCAGCTTGTAGTTCTATATACTTGTTGCCATCTAATGTATTCCTTTTCCCAATTGATAATTATGATATTATTCCAGTTTATACTTCTTGAACAGCATCAAAATGGATGTGTATTTAACTTTGCTTACAAAATGGTGTACTATTCATAAAGCTGATTCGCATGTAGCGCTCTCTGTTGTACCATTGACTCTTTCTATTCATGTGGAATATTTTTTGACTGTTGAAGTTTCTGATTTAGTTAACTGTCTTTCTTGTTTTCTTTGAGGCCTATGCTTCTGTCCTTTTAACCAAAAGATGTCAGATAAACAAGGGTTATAAATCTTTCTTATGATTTTGTCTAATCCTTCTGAATATAGTGACCAAGTCCAAGAGGTAAATATACAAATCGTAGTATAATGAATTTGAATCCTAGAAAACCGGGGTTACCGTCTGATTGGGTTTTCCCAAAGATTTTCTGAAATTAAGGTTTTCTCTGCTAAATTATCTGGTTTTGTAAGGAGTAAATTAATTTTTGATTTGAGAATTAGAGTTTTATATTTTCTGGATCTTGAAAATTTTTCCCTTCATATTTCTTTTGTAAATTCAGGCCAGCCTAAACATTTTTGAGAATGTGGGAACAAAGGAAGAGTTCCACCATTTGTGATGTTGAAGCCCAATATTCATTTCACAAAAAAAAAAAAAGAAGCCCAATAGTTATTTCCACCATTTCCCTTTAGGGATTTTTACCTATATGTACTATATTAAAAAATTATTTACCTTTACTATTTAGGTTTTAACTTAATTACAAGTTGATATATAATTTTTCAATTATATACAAATTAGTATTAATGAGTATCCCTTTATATTAAAAATTGAATAGGGAATCCCTCTTCGCTCTCTCCATTCGATCTCTCTCTCTCTCCCATTCTCTATCAGTATTCTTATATTAATATCTTCATGTGGATTAACCAAAGAAATGATACTAATGTTAAGTGAAAAAAGGAGAGAAGATTAGTACCTGGCAAAGTTCTTGCTTCAGATACTATGAAAACAAGGAAGTAAATAAGAAAGAAAGCTCTGATGAAGAGAATCATTTTAGTTATAGGTCTTTTAGCTTTTTGGAACCAATAAACAAAATAGTATTAATTAGAAGCGAGTAGATTGAATTGAAAACTATGTTAATTCATTAAAAACTCCATTAACAGCCATTAAAAAATTTCGAAGCTTTGAATTCGAAAATTGAATTTTAAGAAATTATTTTTTGTTTGGATTGGGTGTTATTGCAAATGATTGGGAATATCCGTTGAAGTTTATATCTCAATTTTGAAACAATCTGGTAAGATTCGAGGTAGTTTTGGTTGAAATTTCATATTGAAACTCGAAAAAGAAGACACAAACAAATTATATATATTTTGTATGTCGAGTGTAGAAACGGTATAGAAAATATTTATAACTTACATAATTGTATATAAGTTGTATGTGAATTTTAATTTTTGATCGGATTCTGTACAAAAAAGGTGTATTTAAGTTGTAGATAAATTGTAGAGTTAAACCGAATTTGTATATATTTTGTAAAAAACTTTTGTTACTTCCTTTAAATATGAAAACTTAGACAAAACCGGATAAATAAGTTTAAAATCTCGTATATATACGAAAAAGTCCCTTGCCTTCGACAAGTGTGTGGCTCGCGCTTCATATAGCATTGTATACATATTTTCTTTCTCATAAATACCCCTAACAACATACCATAAACATATGAAGAAACATGGTTTTTCCGTCCTTCACAGTTTCACTCGTCCATTTCTCGTCTTCCCCTTTCAACCGAGCACATACCAGAATTTCTTCAGATAAAGGATATCAAATCTTGCTTCCCAATCTTAAATTTTTAGCTCCTCCTTCCCAGGAAATTCCATTAGCATTAATCCAAAAAAATAAACTTATAATACTTAACTCCTCCTCCCTCACAAGAAGCTCTAAACATTAAACTCAAAACACGCTCCTCCTTCGCAAGAGGCTTCTCTCTCATTGTTTGATTAACACCTATCATTTTGAAACTTGCAAATTTTTATATTATAATGCAAATATATCTTTTGAATATTTTTATATTATTTTTAAAAATTTATTTTTATTAATACGAAAGGCACGCGCAATGCACGTACACTAATACTAATTATATTAAAAGCACGAAGGGCCCTTAGCAAAATCGCCTTTTTTACCCTTTAAACCATAGAGTTCACGTTGGATAATATAGTAATTTAAGTATTTCATTAATATTTAGAAATATTCATTTAATTAATTTAGTTATTCCCCCGTTATTAGCAATCTAGGAAGGTTCACTAGATTATTTGGTAAATTTTGCCTGAATTATTTGTTATTAAAATTTTGCCATAATTATTTGGTAAATATTTTCTTGGCGTTCACTATTTCCTAAAGTTTCGCTACTTCGTTCAACTCTCCTCGAGCTCTTTTGAACTTCCTTGAACTCCCTTTACTCTTTGGAGTAGTAAATGACTTCTTTTGTTATCAAGATTTTGCGTAAATTATTTGGCAAATTTTTCTTACACCAGGAAAATTTTTCCACTGAAACTTTCCACTGCTTCGTTCAACTCTCGTTAAATGATTTTATTTGTTATTAAATTGTCTAAACTAGGAAATTTTGTAGTATTAGATTCTCTACGAGCACTTGTGACTTCTATTTGTCACTATCCCCAACATCCCATCTTTAGGATCGTGATGACATCTAATCTCTAATACTAGGTAAGCCTAACACATGATGAGATTCAGCCGAGATAACCAACTTAACTATTAATTATAAAACTATTAAATGACATAACATAGCGAAAACTGAACAATAGTTATACATTTTCCAAAACCGGTAGTACGGAGTCATAAACTCTAGTGAGGTACACTAGGACTTACTAAGTACAACACTATCTGGAAATATAATAAACAATAGCAAAGTACAATAGAAGGTGACTCCGAGGCCGAGCGGAAATGCAAGTATATCTTAAAGTCTCCACAGCAACTCTGATAATCAGCTCGCTATCGCCCAACTCACTCCGAGGTACTTGGATCTGTACAAAAATATGCATAAGCGTAATATGAATACACTACAATCGGTACCCAGTAAGTAGTAAGACTAACCTCAGTGGAGTAGTGACGAGGTTCAAGTCAAGATACCCACTAATCAAATAATCTGTGCAAAATATATATCAATATAAAGCTAACAACGGAAAGCAAAATAAATAAATGTCAACAAAGGGTAATCATGTGATAAAACAACAAAATAATCAAAGCATCGATAAAATACAAATGAGAGCAATTAAGGGAAAACAATGACAGTTCAAATCATCAAACCATTCCGACAAAAAGATTTACAACAAGAATCACCCCGATGTACCACACCTCATAATCACAAATCACAAGTCATAAATCACGAATCATATACACATGGCACCCCATGCCCACATTATCAATCACCTTTACACGACAAAGACCTCGTGCCACAACATGAGTCACACTCGCATGACAGAGACCTTGTGCCACAATATAAGTCACACTCGCACGGCAAAGACCCCGTGCCACAATATAAGTCACACTCCCACGACAAGGACCTCGTGCCTCAACAAATACCACAATTGTACGGCAAAGGCCTCGTTCCACCACGTATATTGCAACCGCAGGGCAAAGACCTTGTGCCACAATGTATATCACAACCCGTGTCAGTTATCAATAATACGTTCAAAAGAAATTTATCGAGAATCAAATAAAGTAATGCATGATAACAACTTCCTTTTTATTTCATTCCGTTATGTCACAAACAACTTAACAAAATATGAGATAACAACTCTACGTAGGTGAATTTACCTTGGCAACCAAATCATCAATTAAAGGACCGAGACACAGATTAGCAAATTGGGAACAACACAATAAAATACGTAGAAATGCATGACACACAAAAAGTCATACCACCACACAAACCTCATCAGTAAAACGCCCCCGGGCCATCACATGTTATCCCCACATAGCTCCCTTGTCTCGCCGTGTACGTAACAATAAAGTAAATGCCCGTCTTGTCTCGCTACACGCGCATCAATAATTATCCCACCTTGTCTTGCCACATGCGCAGACCCAATATATNCAATAACAATAGCATGACAGAAACTTCGTGTAAATACCCCGACAATCCACTCAACGAGTCCACGTGTGCCAAAATCACAACACAACATACCAACAATTGTCATTAAGACATCAACTTACAAATCTGCCAACACAGTGCACAAGGACAATCAATAAGGGAAAGCGGATGAGTGTTCAATATATAACATGAATTCAGCTAACCCAAATATCAACAATTTCACAAACGCCCAACTTGACCAATTAAGGAAATAAAATCTTAAAACATGATCTCTAATATGGAATATGAACTCAAGTAATCATCCATAATAAGAGCTAGGGTTTCCCCTCCAAAATGAGAAATCTCTGTTAATTGAGGCGTTTGGACATCTATTGAGAACCAAGTGCTTTTTCTTTATCTTTGACGTTATTTTTTTTTTCTTTCACATTTGTTAATTGTTTGCTTGGTAATACTGAGAATTTCAAGTGATTTCCCCTAAGATACCTTTCTTTCCTTGCATTATTTTCTTGTAACAGATACATGATCACATGGAAATTGGAATTGCCTAGCTGCCATGACATAGGAACAAAATTTTAATTATTATTTATCTCAATTATCTAATACAAGTAACTTTTTTTAAAGCAAGAAGGTAAAGTGTTCCTCAATTGGGTAGATAACACTATCATTTGCTGACCCTTCATTTGTCGTTTAATTTATCAATTTGATTTCTTCTTGATTGGCCTATTAGCACACGGAGATCGGTTTTATGACGCATTATAATTTTTTTTTAATAATGTGGCTCTTTCTACGGGGAGTCGGTAAAAAATAACTCTATGTTTTATGTACCTCAAGATGTGATAATTATTTCATTCTTTATGCAGGATTAGTTACCTTACATGTAATCCTTTTTACTTGTCAATTTATATTTTGGTGACCAGGGGTGTCAATGGTTCGGTTCAGCCGGTTATTTTATAAAATTTGTACCATACCA